CCGGTCTACGAAGGTCGAACTTTCATTTCGAATTTGAAGTCGTGAAAAACTCCTTTAACAGTGACAGTTTCACTCGTCGAAAATCCAATTTCATTCACCTAACTTGTTTTTTCATTTGTTGGATTTGAGATTGAGAAGATGTTGTCGCAGGTGTGCCAGTTGGTGCGATTACCACCCGTTTGATTTCCACTCAATCGAATAGAAGCCAACCATGCTACGCGCTGATCCCAACCTCGAGATATTTTCGGCCGCGAATTCCGTCAAGTGCACATTGGAACCCTAGATTTCAGTCCTTTGAGAAAAGCGATTCCATTGTTCGGAACTTCGGGGCCCGAAATTCGGGCTTTCCAGCCATTCGCTTCTATTCCTGGAAAAAAACCCCGAGCCGCTCATAAGACCGTATATTAACGTTGTCCGTACTAACGGGATTTGATTAGATAGAAATGCGAAGGGCTCTGTTGGGGATAGTTTTGCGCCAGTGGCTGGACCATTGTGTCTCAATAGTTTCTCGTCCTCCCGGAAAAGCCGACAGCTCAGTTCGATACTCGAGGCTCCCGGTGTGTTTGTTCAGCACCTGCGACGCCTCATGCAGAATTGAATCAACTTCTTGTAAACCTGAGGTTCACGAACATCAGCTGAGGGTTAGTCTGGCATTCGAGGATCGAGGTTAACTCTCGCCTTGTATAACGGAATCATGTTCCACAACGGCGAACAGCAGTCATGATCAGCATCGCAGTCATCTCACTCATCGCTTCGATCTACGTCGCACCCTCGAGAAGGACGGACCGTCTCGGCATTCCACATGAAGACCCCCAGCTTTCAGGGAGTTTTTTCCACAGAACTTTGCCGTTTGGTCTTTCAAGTCTCACGAGTTCTGTGTCAACGTACGATGCTTTCGCCCCACTCTCCACTACTCCAAACTACTCCTGACTGGCTGCATGCTGTTGGACAACAGGCATTCACCGACGAAATGTATTCCGTACGATGGAGTGATGAACGCAATAAGATAAAAGAAAATACTCGACCAAAGTCGTGATACCAAGTCAATGCGACGCGACAAATAAAATGGTCTGTGATCCTTCTAAGGGGATGAGACGCAGAGGATACGACTCGCATCATACGAGTCATCCTCACTAGTAGTTAACCACTGAGAAAACGCTACTATTATCCCCGAAAATGACCCATAGATATATTTTAAAGGAGGTAGCAGCGACGCGATAAATGAGCTACAATCATAGATGAGCACAAGTGGAGTCGAAGAAGCGACAGCATTGCGAGAGTCGGCCTTGAACAAACATTTTGATTTCATTGGCACGGCATCACTATCACGGCCCTAGATCGATGCTCCGGCTCAATGTGGAGCTCTGTCACGTTCCCACCGACGAGCGAGCCCTCGATAACCGTATTTGCTGGGCCCCACAGCTTGAAGTTAACGTCCCAATCACAAGGCCAGGCAGGGAATAGCATGATGCCCTCCTCTTTATCATCCATTGGTTGTAGCAGCATGTACGTCATGGCGTTGTTCATAACAGCGTAATGGTCCGCCGAGGGGGGATAGTCTTGCAGGTGTGGTGCGAAAACAGGAAAACGGTATCCCTTGGCTGGACCGAGCTCTGCCCTAGCCACCACTAGAGATTGGGCAGTTTTCGCCAGACCGAGAAGAGCAGCGTCCATCACGTTTTGTTCCCATCCCACATCCGAAGTAAAGCGACGCTCTTTGAATGTAATTCTTCCCACCTGTATATATCGGGACTTTGCAGTGATGATACGATAGGGATGAACAGCATAGAGGTCAGCATTTTCGACATTAGCAGGTCTAGGGCTACAGACCTCGCATGGCGCCAACTTCCAACCCCCAGTCTTAGCTTTGGTGAGGGGCACAAGGGGTAAGACAGACAGTAGCTTCTTCCATCTCAAGCGTTGTTCTGATAGGGTGAGATCATAGGGAAGTTTGACAAGGCGTGTGACAACAGCCCAGAGACCGGAAATAGTCGGTTGGTCATTCTTAGAACAGTTTTTACCAGCTACCATGTCTTTATATCCAGGACACTGCCAGGTCTCGATAGCTTGTGCTGGGAATAGCACCATCCTGCCCTCGACATCCTTCGCGGTTCTCCATTGGGAGAAAAAATTAATGACGGCGTCCATCAGAGGCAAGTTGGCCTTTAGGACATCGCGATCCTTCGTCCAAGCGTAATGATCCAACATGAGAAGACAGAGATCGAGAGCTCCTTGAAGATTGAAGTGATTCCAACGGTCCTCGGCGTACCAGATAGGTGGATCTATGCTGCCTGCTCTTCCACAACCGTAACTATCTGGATGTGTGGTACCGATAAGCGGATGGACGTATTCATCCCAGAAGGCAGTCGGACCCTTCATGTGGGGATAGTATAGAGCAGTCTTCGCCATGGTTCCATTCAAAGTTCGCTTATAAGCCTCAAACAACGTCTGTTGCATCGCAAAATCTCCTGCTGGCAGCATATTGTAGTAGGGTGCACGCAAATTTTGCCACCAGTTTAGACCTCCCCACTGACGATAGTCAGGATCGTTGCGCTGTGCAGTGAACAGCATTCCATTGAACTTGATGGGGAACGGCTGCCGTGCTTGAAGACCCTGGAGATAACGCTGGAGTGCATACTTCTCGCTCACACGCGTCGCGTTTTTCCCAGAGATGCTTATCCAACTCGTTTCCCAGAAGCCTTTCCACCAATACACATGGGCTTTCCACGCCGGTAGCGGCTTATATTTATCAACAAGTGCTTCCGCGTCAGCGATCGCTTCCGATATAGCTCCTTCTTCTCTCGTTACTACCGAGATAAGATTCGACAAGGTGTTAACCTTCGCCTCTGTGCGAACGACCCCATCCGATACCCCACTCATAGATTCAGAGAACCTCCAAATAGCAACAGTAGACCTATCACGCAATCTATCCCCAAAACTGCTGGATGCTGATTCAAGGTTCAACTGCTTGAGAGTACTCGCTACAAAGTTGGAGCCATTGTTGGCGTGCCCCCATCCGCCGGTGATACCATTAGGGCGCGGTACATAGAAATCCGCGCTGATATCGTACGTGAGGCAGTCGAATTGTGGCTTCAGTCGAGACGGTGATGGTCGGAGAAGTTTCGCAGTGGCTGTTATGGTAACCTTTGTCGGTGAGCTGATATTAACTGCCAATACATCGTCGTTAGCATCGACGTAGGCAACGATGCGTGTGGGAGGGTTTCCAATATCAATCGATACAGTCCCAATGCTGGAGTTGAGCACCTACGGGCAGTGATGGGAACTTGCAAAGGACAGCGCCAAATTGCTCTTTACGGAAAAGCACCCACCTGTTTGAAGGTAGTTTTGGATCCCGAAGTCCAAGGGCTAGGCGAGAAGTGATATGTGACCTCGCCGACTTTCATGATCTCTCCGGCTTCATTCCAAGCACGCTGGTCGGATATGAGTATTCCCACGACCGGCTCCCGTTCGTCTTTGTTGTCTACAAAGACACTGGCGGCTAAACCACCGTTGCCGATCGGCATCGAGTTGACGTAAGTAGTGGCGTCCTTCTCGGAGAGTAGATTCGTCCAGGTCACAGAGGGAGGTTGGTAGGACCAAGCCAGCCGAGCGGTGAACAAACAGACCAGGAGTTGGAACGGAGCATGCATTAAAGATAGGTAGCGCTACAGCAAATGATCCAGGTGATTGGAATCGGTGGCTCGATTAATTCAACGATACTCGGAGTGTCTC